GGGCTATTTTTTGATACTAAAGACGCTTTTTTTGAAAGTACGGGTGCTTTGAAAAAAATGAAATACTAAAAAGCTCTTGCGACTACGCGACTGTACGAGGGCGGTGGCGTACTATTACAGTATTTACGGTAAGTTTTCTATATTTCTTTAGGCTTATATGCCCACATATCTCTCGGTTTTCATCTCGTGGATCGCCTTTTGGATTGATACAAAAGGTTTTCTACTTTTTTTTTGTAAACGCAAATCTTCTAATGCACTGAATGCACTAATGAACTAAACCATTTTCCCCAGAACCAAATCGTTTTATCTCTTTTTTTTTCAGCTCTTCCAGCTCGTATCACTCTCGGTGTGAGTTCTTTGATGGCATTGACGTTTCAATTCGGTAACATTGTCAAGAATTTGCCTAGAGTCAGCTATGTAAAAGTGAGTTGTAAAAACAAAAAACTCCATTCTTTTTTTCCTTTAGGCTTTAGACATTTGGATGTTCGGGTGTGTGGGCTTCATTTTTCTTTCATTGGTTGAGGTTTGTTTGGAAAAAAAAACTCAGACTCAGAGAAAACTCAGACTCAAGTAGCTCTAAAGATCTCCCAGCTATCGTAGATCTTCATACTGTAAGTTTTTGATTTTACGATACTCTTTGCGATCAAGAGGAGACAATTTAGGTCAAGATTACTGTAACATTGTAATGTAATGGTTACTGTACTACCTTTTGGTTACTGTGCTACTGGGATTACTGTAATACCTGAGTTACTGTAATACTTGGGTTACTTGAACTACTGTAAAATTGACTAACTGAGATTGCTAGTACAAGGATTGCTGTAACAGCTGAATACTTGGGGTAACGGGATAGTTAGGGTTACTGTACTACTTGGGTTAGTGTACTACTTGGGTTACTGTACTGCTTGGGTTCCTGTACTACTTGGGTTACTACTTGGGTTAGTGTACTACTTGGGTTACTGTACTGCTTGGGTTACTGTACTGCTTGGGTTACTACTTGGGTTACTGTACTGCTTGGGTTACTACTTGGGTTACTGTACTGCTTGGGTTACTACTTGGGTTACTGTACTGCTTGGGTTACTACTTGGGTTACTACTTGGGTTACTGTACTGCTTGGGTTACTACTTGAGTTACTGTACTACTTGGGTTACTACTTGGGTTACTGTACTATTTGGGTTACTACTTGGGTTACTACTTGGGTTAGTGTACTACTTGGGTAACTGTATAATACTGGATTACTGTACGGGTTACGGTAGCCGAGTCAGCTCTATTTAAAGCTCTATTTCAGTCCGAAAAAGCAAGAAGTCAAGCTGAGTTGCTGTAAAATGATTAGTTGGGGTACGGTAGCCAAGCCAGACTTTAAAGCTACGCAAGAGTTCGGACAAAATCTTGGATACTTTCTATAAGACGAATGAAGTTTTAAATCTTTCCCCAAACTAATGAAAAAATGTTCGTAGATTTGAAATATCTAAATGAGAAAACTGTAAACTCTTTTGGTTTCTGGGAAAATGATCTTTTTGTAGAGAGAGAGGAACACGATATAGATGCCCTGTAAGACTAAAATTCAATCCTCATTTCCAGCTAGCAGTTGTCGGCTTTGCGGACAAGGTCGACGCGAAACGTCGTCGACATCAAAGGCAGAAAGTGGGTCAAGCGAGGAAAATGCTTCTCAGCTCAACGGGAATGGTGGGAGGGATGAGTATAGGGGCAAATCATCCATATGCATATCCAAGTGTTCCCTATTCTCCTCTCCCACATTCGCACATCATTCAGCAAAACTCGGTTCGGCTTTGCATGACAAACTATCCTTTTTTCTGGGGATGAAATTTAAGGTACTTGAGACAGACTTGGGCGTTCTTTGAACTCTCGAAAACGCGTCCTTTCTGATGCACTTGATTTTCATAAAAGCCACTTTTCGTAAAAGCCTTTATCTAGACATTCACTGTGCTAGGAAGTATGCGTTTTCGAGAGTACAAAGTAGTCCCAAGGGCCCGTTTGTTGCGTAAATGTAAACGTACACTTTCTGGCACACTTTTCTCCAATAAAAGCATGCCAAAACAGAATTCAGTACACCAGAAGCTATGCGTTTTCAAGAATACAAAGTATTTAACCTGTTCTGTACCTTAAAAATCATCCCTTTTCTGCTATCGCTAAGTTTTTTGTTTGTAAATTCAATCTTTTAGCAAGGATTTCTATTTAGGAACAATTGATAATGAGATCTGATAGTGAACAACAATGGTTATCAAGGCTGAGTGGACATCGACCAAGTCAAATGATGTGCACAGATCCCAGAGATCAGAAGAACAATAGAACGGGTGAGTGAATGTACTCAACTTTAACAAACTTTACTTTACTTTAGTCGATCTGGGTTCTATTCTAAGAGTTTCCTTTTGGTTTTACAAGTGAAATTTCAGAAGAACAAGAATGCCCGAGTGGTTTACCATTGTTAAATAATGAAGAAAATGGACATACGAGACATCCAGGAAGTCAAGAAGGAACACCGGGTGGGACACAGGGTGAGTGGAATGGAAGGGGAAAGGGGAGAGGGTAAACACTGTGTACTGTGGAAGTCGAGGCCTGACCTGACCTAAACCTGACCCAGACCAGGCCTAGATCAGTCAGCCAAAAGCAGAACCGAACCTAGCTTTGGCCTGTGCTGGCTTACAGACTCTAGAGCTCTGGTGCTCATTATTCCTGACCATCAGATCGTTAGTATTAGATCATATCAAACATTTGTTAAAATTTTGAGCTGTCATTTGCTACTGAAGGAAATTCCCCTAGAAAAGCTGTGTTTAAGCTTTTATTTACAACTATGTACACTTCTAAAAGTGAATTTTAATCTTTGTAAAAATTTGAGGTGGTCTTCCACGGGGTATTCGAATGAGTAAACTATTGCTCCATCAAGAAGCGCCCGCTCATGTCAATGGAGAGAAGATTGATGAGGTTTGGGCAAATTGAATTCCACTTTAAGAAGATATTCAGTTAACTAACTGCAAACTCTTTTAGCATAAATATAAATTTAATGGAGAGCTGGTTGATGAGGTGAGTGGAGAGAGAAACAAGTACTTTAAGGCGGATAAAGGAAAGATGGGAAAGGCAAAAGATCTTCAGTTAATTGATAGATTTACAATTAAAAGATATTCAGCTAAAGATTAGCTAAAGATCAGCTAAAGGTCTTCACCTAAAGATTAGCTAAAGTTCTTCAGCTAACGATTAGCTAAAGATCAGCTAAAGATCTTCAGCTAAAGATCAGCTAAAGATCTTCAGCTAAACATCTTCAGCTAAAGATGAGCTAAAGATCTTCACCTAAAGATTAGCTAAAGTTCTTCAGCTAACGATTAGCTAAAGATCAGCTAAAGATCTTCAGCTAAAGATCAGCCAAAGATCTTCAGCTAAACATCTTCAGCTAAAGATGAGCTAAAGATCTTCAGCTAAAGATCAGCTAAAGATCTTCAGCTAAACATCTTCAGCTAAAGATGAGCTAAAGATCTTCAGCTAAAGATCAGCTAAAGATCTTCAGCTAAACATCTTCAGCTAAAGATCAGCTAAACATCTTCAGCTAAACATCTTCAGCTAAAGATCAGCTAAACATCTTCAGCTAAAGATCAGCTAAAGATCTTCAGCTAAAGAATTCTAATAGTTTAAAGATATAAAAAAATGCGATCCTTTCCTCTTTTTCGATCGATTCCCTTCACTGATTTGTCTCAAAATGAGCTTGATGTGGCACTGTAAATTTATGCAAATTCGAAATCGTTAATCTATTTATGCAAATCTCTTTCAGATCTCCGCTAAACTCTTCCCTCTTCTCTTCACCGCTTTCAACATTTTCTATTGGTTTTACTATATCGGGATGTCAGGCGGGGTTTTTGGATCGGAATAAGGGGGAAATCAAGCTCCTTCTTTTATCAAATTCTCTTTAATTCATCATTTTTATACGGGTTATCCACATAAAAATTGATCTCTCCAAATTTTTTCATCTCTTTTTCATCATCTTCCATATCAAAAATGTTCTCAAATTTGAATATTCAATAAAATTTTATTTTGAAAGATCAACAAAGCAACAGATTTCTCTCAAATAATAAAAAGATCAAAAAACGAAAAGCAACAGGTCAATTCAAAACTAAGGATTGGTAAGGATTGGTTCAAAAATAGGCCAAAACATTTTTACGAAAGAGGAATCAAAATTTTGCGTGATCTTTTTGGAAAATAATGGAGTGGATGAATATAAAATGAATTGTGGATGAATATAAAATGGCGGCGTCTTCGAACGAAACGGAAAAACACAAAAGAAGAGCTTTCAATTCGAAGGTATTCTCCATTAGTATCTTTTGCAAAAAACTAAACCATTCTTTTTTCTCAACTCTTTTCTGATACGCTAAAATTTCATCCCGATCTGACGCAGAGCTTTCGAGAGGCTTTATGAGAATAAATGCGATGAAGATGCTTACCGAAATAAGGCTCAAATCAATAACGATTCGAGTTCTACGATGCTATTAGGTTGGCAACTTAATAATGACGCGTTTATGTAACAAATCATTTATTTCCAAAAGACACAAAAGAAGAGCTTTCAATTCGAAAGGTATTAGTATCTATGACATCTTCCATTAGTATCTATGACTTCTTCCATTAGTTTCTATCCCTTCTTCCATTAGTATCTATGACATCTTCCATTAGTATCTATAACTTCTTCCATTAGCATCTATCACTTTCTGACTGTTTTAATCTCGGAAACCTATCTATAACTATCGTTAAAGAATACAATCTCAAACGGTGATCCTTGAATAATGTCTTCCTCTCTAATATTCTCAAACAAAAACTATTAGATAACTAGTTTTTCCAACTTCTGACTAATTAAAAATGTTAGATAATCGAATATCTAATCATTTGAGCAATCTAATCCTGAAATAACAAATGAGAAAGTACTAATATAACAGATAAAACCCTTGACTACATCTCAATCATCCCAACTTTTAAGGCATGTATTCTTTTTGATTCTTCAAAGAATGGAGTCTGGAGAGCCACTAATTGCTCAGAAACTCACCCATCTGTTTGCCAGTCCGGTAAATTTTTGCCAAACATCTTTTTTAAACTTGAAAACCTAGATCCTCTTCCTTGTCCAGAACAAGACGAGCTTGTTAATGACAAATGCTACAGCTACTCCTTTGACAATGACAATTACGAGGTAACTTTTTTGCCAAACCTGAAAGCTTTCGTGTTTTTTAGATCGCCAATAACTATTGCCAACGAAAACTATATGATCTTGTAAGCATTTTGTCTCAAGAGGAGCAAGATTTCATCTTCCGTATGTTTTCATTAACTTTTTAAACGCTTTGGACTAGAAAAGAAAGCATTTATTTTATTTGAAATACTAGAACGAGCTTCGGGCTGAGATTAGTTTAGGTTATTTTTATTTATCGAGTTTTGTGGTTTGATTTTGAACAACTCAAGTCAATCCTCACTTCTATTATCTGATTGCTAATCGATTCTAAAACGGGCTTTATTCAAAAGCTACATAGATAATCATGAGCAAGTCTTTCTTTTCTTTCTTCAAAAAGTTTACTTTGCATAGCTCTACTCCTGAAAGTGTCACCAATTCAGGAACCTCGTCGTTGACCATTACCTGGCTTGGAATTCGTCTAATTGATGGGAAATGGCAGTGGTCGATTAACGGTGAAATGGTCGAGGTTGTTTAGAATCTCCCTGACTCAACAAACCCTTTCTTTTCAGGCATCTTTCACTAATTGGGAGAACAATGTGATGCCAAATGACCCGAAAAAGGTTTGAGGATGAAAAGTTTTGATTAAATAAAAGGAATAGACTCTCAAGCCTTGCCAGCCTCGGTTTTATCCTTTTAGACATGTGCCGTTTTTGATGGATGGGCGAATGGAGTGTGGAGAGCCGTCGATTGCAACCAACAATATCGTTCGATTTGCAAAACGGGTACGAACCTTTTTGTTGATTTCGTTTGGCTTTAGTTAAGCTCGGCTTTTAAGCTGATGACTTCAACTTTGATACCTTTTAGTCAAGCCTACTGTTAAGGGAAAGGATTTGAAGTTTGAAATGAACTTTTAGTTAAAACCTGTCAATAGTGAATTGTCAATTCCAAGAGCTTTCAGATGCCTACCATCCACCAAATTGACGTTAAAGAGTGAGAAAGCAACAATTCTATAAAGGATTTTCAAAATCTTTTTCGATTTCATGTTTCTGACCGATATGACGTAAATAAATCTGATAAAATCTACATCCAATTTCAGAAATTCATTTGCGAAAGCGTCTTCTTTCGATAAAACGCAATAATTGACTTCTAATAAACGAGTTTCACCCAATTCTAATTGATCTAAAGAATTTTATATATGAACTAAACTCTAAACCACGCAAATCAATATATTGATAACTCCAATATCATTCACCAACAACTTTACCAAGCTTTTAGTAAAGTTGTTGTATCTCGAATTGCACAAAACAGGATGCAGCCCAATCTGGGACCTGAGCTATGGCCGAAACGAAAAAATGGTGAGGAAATCATCGAAGTTGATCAATCACGAAACGTTTCCTCTTGAATGTGCTTTAGAAAGTTCTCATTTGTCTTTGAATTGTTTTCTTTCGTTCTCGAAAACGTATCTAAATGGAAATTATCGGAAAATTTTGAGCGAATTTCTTCGAAGTTTAGTGGTTCCCCTTAATGGTTCAGTGGTTCAAAGTGAGCATCAAATTTAGTGGGGAATGCAATTTTTGAATGCAATTATTTTCAATTTTTTTCTAAATACTGACGATCAAAGATCGCAAGCTTAAAGACGAAAAAAAAGACATTTATTATCATTTGGGATCTCTTGAAATTCATTCAGGACATCCGCTAAAGTAGAAAAAGCGGATATAAATTGATATCATGATTCGTCAAAGACGGAAAAAAGCGTCATTTCAGAGCTCTCAAATCTCCTTATCGGGAACTTCTTTTTAGCACAAATGTTTCTGAGAAATTATTTCAGATGTTTGGTTTTTGGGAGAATCATTACATTAAAAACATTGGTGGTATTGATAAAGAAATCTTGTCTCTTGTTTTTAAAACAATTGTTTGGGGCTTATTTGTAAAGAAATCTACAAAACATGCAAAGAAAAGCTCACAGGAAAACGAATCTTTTTACTATTGATTATTTAGCTTAAGTGATAAGAGATGACTTATAACAATGTAAACTCTCGCTTTTCTTATTCTAATTGCAATTTTGTATTCTAAGACTGAATCCTTTTGATGCCCAAACGTTTTTTGAAAAATATTTCTAGTTTAAATTTGAAATTTGGGCGAAAGGGCGAAAGCAGCAAAGAAAAAAGACTGATTGGCGTCATGATTACGATCCTTTGATCGTAATAACGTATTTGACGTCGTATTTGATGCCAATCGCCAATCCTTGGATTTCTCATCACTTTTCGTGCGTTCCTTTTAAACTTTCGCCTTTCGCCCAATCAAAGCATCGTCTCAAAAACCCCTCTTCAACGCTAGCATTTAAAAAGTTTGAGGTATAAGTCTACTCTCAAGCAAACGCTCATATCACCAGTACTTTTGCTTCTACCCGCTTAAGTATCAAATTAAAGTAGAGAAGATGGGTGATTTTTTGAGCTATCACCCAAGTTTGAGGTTTGAATTTGATGTGGTCCAAGTCTCGCCATCCGCTTCATTCTCTGCCATTGCCAAGAAATCCGCCTCAGTTTTTCAATCCTGATTTGTCGTTATCTAAGAAGTTGAGAGAAGAATATCATCTGTTCATAACATTTCACCGAACAAAATCCTCCAGGATTTTGAAAAAAAACTTATCCTTTTCTTTCTAACAACATACAGGTTAGCACGCAATTACGTAATTACACTCTATTTTAGAAATAACTCCTCGCTGAATTGTACATCGACAAAATGACAACAAGTTTATCTAAAATTGACGCAATTTTTCTACGGTAAATCCTTTGGGTTTTTCAATGATTTCATTTTCCGTTTTTTTTTGTTTTTTTAAATTTTTTTTTTTTTAGTTTTCATGTTTTTTAAAAAGGGTGGGGGGGGGTGTTTTTTTTTGGAGTTTATTTGGTTTGGGGGGGAAAAAAGGGTTTTGTTTTTTTTAAAATTTTTTTAAAGCAATATTTTTATTTAATCGATTAATCGAAAGTTGTTTTTTTTATGTTTTAATCTGAAATACACTGACCTGGTTGCGAGAAGAGTTTTAGAATGTGAAGCACAAGAAAGGGAAAACAGATCCAACACTTCTATATTCATCTTTTCAATGGTGATAGTGATCGGACTTTTCTAGAATCCCACCAAAGTGATGCTACTCGAAACTTGCTAGTGAAACGCAATGCTAGTGCTAGTGCTAGTGCTAGTCTAAACTGCAATAGTGACCGGAACCCTTGAAATGTTAACCACGTTTCACCATGTTCAATGTTTTTCTAGTTACTGATTATTTGGAACAGACAAAATCTTGGCTTAGACTAAAAACCGAAGATGTACAGTTAAAGCATTTCAACATTCTAACTGAATTGAATCGTTATAATCAAAAACCGAGCGTTGTCGCCGATCAAAAACGATCGCCGAACAATCTCTCCAAGTTTTTCATTATCTAACAACCCCATTTTCTTTTGTATTTTTTGTAAGACTTGAGATTAACCATTCTTAAGAATTCAAATTCTGTATTTTGAAAAAGTTAAATTTTTGTCACTCAAATTCATAAAATAAAAGTTGTCAAAAAATGTGCTTTACAAAATCTTAAAAAGTAGGCATTCTTTGCATCTTATAAGTTGTCGGTTATTGACAAAATCAGCTAAGAAAGAGAAAGAAAGAAACAAGAAAAGCAATTCCATATTTTACATTTCACACACTTTAAGCTCAAGCTCAAAAGTTTTTTGATAAAAAGCCAAAGCAAAAAAAGAGACTTTTCACATAGATTAAACCTAAGCGTTATCTTAATAAAATCTAATAAAATAGAAGCAAAGGAAATTCGTGCCTTTCCCTAGTTAGAATATCAAAAATTAGTCGAGAAATATCCCGCGCACATTCCTCTCGTTTTCGTGACTATTAGCGGCTAATTTCTGTGGCGTTTTGTTCGCCATTGCCGATTCTATTTTATGCACTCAAATTCATAAAATAAAAGTTGTCAAAAAGTGTGCTTTACCAAAACTTAAAAAACAGGCATTCTTTGCATCTTATAAGTTGTCGATTATTGACAAAATCAGCTAAGAAAGAGAAAGAAAGAAACAAGCAAAGTGAAATGACCTTGAGAAGTTGATCAGGCTAGAAAAGTGGTCACCTTTTTTTGACAAAAAATGAGCCTGATAAAGAAAGATTGAGAGTAGAAAAGGTTTTCCCGGAATTGGATCCTTGAAACTCGGCGAAATATACACTTTCTCAGTTAACTTGTCTCTAACTGATCGATCTAGCTAGGCTACCCTTTGATAGATCTGTGCTCACCATTGCCTATTTTTACTTGCTCTTTAAATTCATCTAATTATTTCGGAATTGAAGATTCTTTGAAGATTCAAAAGATACTTTCCAAAAGATGCTAAAAGAAAGTAACAATATTGACTTTGAAAAAGCCCTCCTAATTGGAGAAGGTGGTTTCGGAACCGTTTATCATTTCGACAAAGAAAACCCGTGAGTTTAAAAGAGATTAAAACCAGTTATTATTTCTTTAAGAACTTTTTTAAATGAAAGATTAGACTTCGAAAAACCTTAAAATAATTTTTTTGAGAGGGGGAAAAATATTTAAATATATTTTTTTTATATTTTTTTCAAAAAATTTTTTTTTTTTTTTTTTATTTGGTGTTTTTAAAAATTTTAAATTATTTAAAAAAAAAAAAAAAAAAAAAAAAAAAAAAAAAAAAAAAAAAAAAATTATCCCTACTTCCCCCCTTCCTCGGGGGGAGTTATGTTTATTTTGGGGGGTGGAGGGCCCCCCCCCGGAGCACCAAAAAAAATTGGAAAAAAAATGGAAGGAAAATTAGGAAAAAATTCCCAAAAACAAACCCCAAAGAGAGGAAAACAAAAAAAAAAAAAAAAAAAAAAAAAACCCAAAAAAAAAAAAAAAAAAAAAAAAAAAAAAAAAAAAAAAAAAAAAAAAAAAAAAAAAAAATAAAAAAAACCCCAAAACCCAAAACAAAAAAAAAAAACAACAACGCGAAGAAAAAAAAAAAAAAAAAAAAAAAAAAAAAAAAAAAAAAAAAAAAAAAAAAAAAAAAAAAAAAAAAAAAAAAAAAAAAAATTTTAAAAAAAAAAATAAAAAAAAAAAAAAAAGAAAAAAAAAAGGGAAAAAAAAAAAAAAAAAAAAATTTAAAAAAAAAAAAGAAAAAAAAAATAAATATAAAAAAAAAAAAAAAAAAAAAAAAAAAAAAAAAAAAAAAAAAAAAAAAAAAAAAAAAAAAAAAAAAAAAAAAAAAAAAAAAAAAAAAAAAATAAAAAAAAAAAAAAATAAAAAATATAAAAAAAAAAATTAAATTTAAAAAAATATTTTTAATTTAATATAAAAAAAAAAAAAAAAAAAAAAAAAAAAAAAAAAAAAAAAAAAAAAAAAAAAAAAAAAAAAAAAAAAAAAAAAAAAAAAAAAAAAAAAAAAAAATAAAAAAAAAAAAAAAAAAAAAAAAAATAAAAAAAAAAAAAAAATTAAAAAAAAAAGAAAATAAATTTTATAAAAGAAAAAAATTTTTAATTCTTGGGGTGGGGGGGGATTTCTTGGGGGGAGGTGGGGGGTGCGCGGGCGCCCGAAGGGGAACAAGGACCCAAAAAAAAAAAGGAAAAAGAAAAAAAAAAAAAAAAAAAAGAAAAAAAAAAAAAAAAAAAAAAAAAAAAAAAAATAAAAAAAAAAAAAAAAAAAAAAAAATAAAAAAACAAAATTTTATAAAAAAAAAAAAATATAAAAAAAAAATAAAAAAAAAAAAATATATAAAAAAAAAAAAAAAAAAAAAAAAAAAAAAAAAAAAAAAAAAAAAAAGAGGAAAAAAAAAAGGGGGGGGGGGAAAAAAAAAAAAAAAAAAGAAAAAAAAAAAAAAAAAGAAAAAAAAAAAAAAAAAAAAAAAAAAAAAAAAAAAAAAAAAAAAACGCGCATTCATAACTGGACAATCCAATAAAAACACAACTAAAGCTCAACTAAAAAACTCAAACTATTTCTTGTTGACTCAGGCTTAAAATTTTATATCAAATAAAAAGGTTTACCATTTCATCTAACCTTGATATCTCTAGCTGATCGACCTGGTTCTAGCTAGGCTACCCTTTGATAGATCTGTGCTGACAGACAGATCTGTGCTGACAGACAGATCTGTGCTGACAGACAGATCTGTGCTGACAGATAGATCTGTGCTGACAGATAGATCTGTGCTGACAGATAGATCTGTGCACGATTGCTGACAGAACAACACTTAAAAATTGCTCTAGTTTGTCTAAAAAACCCTCTAAATTCTTTATTGCCTAATTATTTAAGAAAAATGAAAAGGAAATTTGTATTCAACAATAGTCTGCATAAGTTTCTCATGTTCTTTTCTACAAAAGAAGATTTCCAGATCGTATGTGGTAAAATTGATAAAATGCGACACGAAAGGCTTGAAAAGTTATCAAACCGAATGGGAGATTCTGAAAAAGCTAAAACACGAGCATATTGTAAAACCATTGTGGACAAAAGAGATCATCTTTGATCGCCGTCTGGCTTTTGCTATTGGAATGGAGTATTGTGAGAGGGAATCTTTAGATAAAAGTGAGTTTATCAAAAAAAAAACCCTATAAATTAAGTAATAGAAAAGCTTTCATTGCTCTAGTAATTGTTTTTCTAGTCATTCACAACTCCACTTTCATCTATTCGATGCGAACCGTGACTGTTTGGGCGGAGAACATTTTTGGGGCTCTTGCGTATCTCGTTGAAGAGCACAATATTGTCCATCGTGATATTAAACCAAACAAGTCACTTTTTTTCTTTTTATTTATGAAGAAAAGGTTTAGCATTTTGGTCAAAGCAAACTTCTCAGTGAAACTCGGAGATTTCGGCTGTGCAAAAGAAGTCGAAGAGACTTGTGTGGATAGGTCTCTAGCCGGCACTTGCCGCTACATGAGTCCACCAGATGGGCTACCTAAAGTTAATTTTTGTTGTTGTTGTTTCCGCTAAAGTTTGATCTAAAAGAAGAGTTTTGATTTCATTATCTAACAAAGTATCTAACATTATCCATAAGTAAAAGAAATCACTAGCCTTTCTCTTTCTCTAGCCACAAACCAACGATTAGCCGAGCTGAGTTGGTTACCGTCGTCCATTGCTTACCATTAGAACGACATGTCTTGTCATTCTATTTTTTCAATACCCCCTATTCTATTTGATTCTATTCTAATTCTATTTCTAATTCTATTTCTAATTCTATTTGAGCACAAATACAAATTTTAAACTCAAATTAAGAAGTTCAATTTCAAAAAATGGGTTGTCGTTCTAATACAGCATTTACGGTAACCAACGTCGGGCTCGGCTAATCGTTGCTTTGGGATAATTTGGGAGATTTGACGAGTCCACCCTGTACGGCTATTGTTTGGGATCACCAGGGAAAACGGATATTTAAAGGGGAGGAAAAGCTCGAGCATTGAGTTCAATGCTTACAAAATCTTATTAAAAAAAAATTATATGACAACTAAGCTAACTGGTAATCAGGTTCAGATCTCCTCGGCTAGTTTGCTTAGAATTATTAGCCCATGTAAAGTTTAAACATTTTAAAGCCTTAAAAAACAACTTAAGAAGCGGTTTTTTTTATTGGTTTGTCCAGTTATGAATGCGTGTTTTTACTATTTTGTAAATTTCTCAAGATATCGAACAGATGTATATGAGTGTTATATATCATTCGAAAGCTGAAGATCTCCTCTACATTTTGATATAAAAGTTTTTGAATTTGTTCAGCTTTTGGGAAATTGACTGCACAAAGGGAGAGGTTGTTTTCGAAAAAAACCCATTCCAGCTTAGCTAGTCCTCAAGTTTTATGGTGTAAAATAACCGCCCAGAAAAGAAAAGGAAAGTAAAGATGCTCTGAAATTGTTATATTTTTCAAAAAAAGTTGTATTGATAGCTCTATTTGCCAAATATCAAACGGTTAACTCAATTTGAGCGGAGTCAAAACTTGATCCAAAGGCGCCTTTCCATTTTTTGGCCACCTCTTCTTCTGTGCAGTCAATTTGCCCAAAAGCTGAACAAATTCAAAAACTTTTTATATCAAAATGAGGAGAGGAGATCCTCAGCTTTCGAATAATACTCATATACAGGGTGCGGCAAAAGTTCGGAGCCGCTATAAAAACATTGCAGAAAATTTAGCTCACGCTTTTTTTTGTGTCTGGTATACTTTTTTTCCTTTTTTCGAGTATAGTTAAGGTGATTTGTTACAAAAATTTTCTTTTTAGGAGCAAAATTCGTAAGAATGAACGCCAAAAAACGACGCGATGTGATTCTCGGATTATACCAAGGCGGAAAAAAATAGCCCGGAGATTGTAAAAATCACGAAATATCCAAAAAGCACCGTCAACAAAGCAATTAAACGCTACAAGGAGATAAAGAACAACAAGGATCGCCCTCGAAGTGGTCGACCACCAACTGCCGTAACACCTACGAACATCAACGAAATTCGCTTTCGAATTCGCCAAAACAAGCTGCGGTCGATGCGAAAGATGGGCAAACAGCTGAAAATTAGCCCTCGAAGCGTTGGAATGATTGTTAAAGGGAAACTAAGATTCTTTAGCTACAAATTGGCCAAAGCACACGTCTTGAGCGTCAATCCTAGAAGAAACAAAAGCGTCTAGCAAAGAAGATGGTGCGCTTGGTGGCGACTGGCCTACTTGAGAGGATCCTCTTCACAGATGAAAAGATTTTTTTCTATCCAGTCATTGCACAACCGCCAAAATGATAGATAACTTCTCAAAAGGGGTCTGAAGAACACATTTGCGGCAAATTTGATGGTTAGAAAGCATTTTTCAGCTTCGATTATGGTGTGTGGAGGTATGTGTGCTACAAGCAAGACACCGCCTGTTTTTTTTGGACAGAAACGTCAAGATGAATGCTAAAAACTGCCAACAACCGATATTAAAAGATGTCTTGAAACATTGGGCAACAAATCACTTTGGACAAGCTGATTTTTCCCTGCAACAGGACTGGGCTCCGGCGCATGGTGCTCACTCAACTCTCAACGTTTGCGCTCAGTTGTTTCTAGGCTTTTGGGATAAGACCATTTGGCCTTCAAATTCGCCAGATCTTAATCCCCTCGATTACTCCGTTTGGGCTATTTTGGAAGGCAAGATCTCGATGAAGACGTATCAAACAGTGGATGCTTTAAAATCTGCTCTGAAACGAGTCTGGGATGAAATAACTGTTTAAGCGTGCGCCACCATTGTGAGGAACTTCCCAAAGCGTTTAACGAGGTGTATCGAAGCGGATGATGGAAATTTCGAGCATTTGTTATAAGTTATTTGTTGTTATGATTCGAATAAAGAATTTGTTATTAATTTTGAACTTTTTAAAGCGAGTTTTTAAACCTTTAACTACCTTAAGAAGCGGCTCCGAACTGCCGCACCCTGTATATCTTTTTTTTGATTTCGGTATCTTGAGAAATTTAAAAAATAGTAAAAAACGCGCATTCATAACTGGACGACCCAATACATTATAGGTATCAAATTTTCGAGTTTTAATTTATAAAAAAACTCATAGAAACAATTTGCATCCATGAATACAGTTCCTTTACTCACTTGTACTTGTGGTGTCCCGGGCATCTTTAATTTTCTTTTCTGGGCGGTTATTTTACACCATAAAACTTGAGGAATAGCTAAGCTGGAATGGGGTTTTTTTTTCGAAAACCACCTCTCCCTTTGTGCAGTCAATTTCCCAAAAAGTTAAATGAATTCAAAAACTTTTTATATCAAAATGTAGAGGAGATCTTCAGCTTTCGAATGATATATAACACTCATTTAAAATTTGATTAAGCTCTCGCATCGAAACGACGTTTATGCAGTGGGTTTGGTGGTATGGGAGATGATCGAAAGATGGTAACAAATAACTTTATTCTTTTTATAATCAAAAAATTCAGTAAAGTTTGGAGTGAGTACAATCAAGAAGGCGTTTTTGACTTGGGTCGATTCCATAGGGGAGTTATTGAGAGAAAAGTCGTTCAACTTACTCCACCAAAATGTGCTCAAGTCGATGTGCAACGAGCGGTGGTGGCGTGTACTCGCTTCAACAATAATCATCGACCGACTGCAGCAGAGATGCATCAACGATTTATTTGTTGGAACAAGGTTTGCACAAATTTTTGAATTTGAATTATGCAAGGTTTTCAACAAATTCTTGACTATAAATCAGACATTTTCAAAGCATTTAAAGGCATGAAAGCCCGTTCATCGTCGTGCAAACATTGAAAGAATCCTCAAAAAGCCAGTTTGTTATTGAGTTTTCAGATAAAAGAGGCCCAAAAAATGTCTTTTGTTAAAGTTTTTCTGTCAATCTAGGACCCAGACCGGTTTCTTTTTGAAGACGAGCTGGATCCGGACCGGTAAGGACCGACTTTTTCGGCTAAATGGTCTCCGGTTCGAATCGGTCTTGCTGTAAAATCAGCAGGTTCGAAAATCTGAAAGAGCCTGGACCTATCCGAATCGACGTGGCTCTAGAAACTCATGATCTTGCGAAATTTTGTAAGTCTCAAGACTTTGGGCGCAAGCCGGATCCTGGAAGAAATCTTGCGCTCTGCATAGCTGCGCAAGTGGGGTCCCGAAAGAAATCTTGCAAGTTGATAAGTCTCAAGGCAAGTCGTCAGCCAAAATCTTGTGAAATTTATCTTGGAAAGTTTCGCAAGATTTTTTGGATGTCACAAGCCGATCAAATAAGGGACACGAACTTTTCACACAAGAGGGGACCACATAGATCAAAAAAATTGACCATCTCCAAATTTTGCTGAAACTATCCATATGCTGATGATCATAGCGCTGTTATTTTTTTGAAAATTTGCGTGTTTAGCTCAACTTTCAGTAGCTTTATTGAAAATAAGCTTATTTTCAAAATCTAGAGACTTGAATCTGTGTCGTTTTAACACTTTTTGAACAATTTAAGATGTTTTTGAAGGTTTTACTCAAAAAGCCTCCAAATTTTGCTAGAATATTAATAGTATTTATCAGAAAGAGACATTGAAGTAGAGTAAGTAAACCGCTGAAATGTTCATTTGTGTTTTTATCATAGCTATCTGTTTAGAAAGACGCCTTTTGCATGAGTCTCCCCTTTCTCCCGAAAGTCGACATCACGGAAAAACGCTTGATACGACCAATCGGCTTCAATGGACAACGAAATGTAGAGCCGATCGTTAAGGACATAACACCACCTAAGCCTCAGCTGTCTGATTCATCTACAGTAAAACGAATGGCTCCGGTGGCTCCGGTTCGAGCAACTGCTCCTCCTTTTGAAGCTTCAACTACACTCGGCCCACCCCCAGCCTATTCAACAATCATTCTGCCAACTCAAACTAAACAAACTAGACAACTTTCCTGTTTTCAAAAATTCGGACGACGCTGCTGTTTGTGTTTGGTTTGGCTGATTGGCATTGGAATCTTCATAGCTTTCTGTATTTTGACGGTGATGTTTTTAAATTCTGATCTGAAAACGATGACTACAACAAGTCGGCCGAACATTGATTACACAGAAGGTTAGCCTTTGAGAACTTTATCTATAGTTTGCTTTAAAATTTAAAAGAACAATCTAAGGCATAACCATTAGTCTCCAGAAATCACAAGGACGTCAAAAAAAGAGAAAAAAACGTACAGCTTTAGAAAAGTTTTATTGACATAACAAGATTTTAATCTTAATTCTTTTAAAGAAAGAACAGAAATAGTTTGGAGATTCTTTGTATGCAGCTTCTGAATTGAATGAAATGATTAGCTAAAGGATTTGAGCCTACTGTTCTATTGGGTTAGTGAATTGAAAACTGCCCGACTTTGAACTAAAATTTATTGAACATAAAACGATCAATTCATTTCAAATAATTTTCATTATTATTGACGACTTCTGCCCATTTTACAGGCAATTTGCGGATTCCTCTTTCGTAGTAGGATTTTGGTTTGTGTGTGAGACAAGTGTGAGACTCAAAAATGGAGGACTGGAGATGTCCCAGTTTGAGCAATTTTTTCGAAAGAAACCCATTTTGGTGTCAATAGAAAAGTTGTAGAGAATCTAAAATTAGGCCTATAGCCAAATTTCCAAAAAGATACACTTAATAGTTTCGCTTAAAATGCAAGTTTTTTGTGAAAATTCGTAAATTTGGCATTTCTTGAAAACCAGTTTTTGAATCGTTCTGAAAATTTGGCGATAAGCTTGATTTTTGATTCTCTACAACTTTTCCATTGACACCAAAATGGGTTTCTTTTAAAAAAAGTGTGAGAACTGGGACATATGACAATAGCCCGCAGTTTTCAATTCACCAATCCAATAATTCTTTTAAAGAAAGAATAGAAATAGTCTGAAGATTCTTTGTATGCAAGTTCTGAATTGAATGAAATGAGTAGCTAAACGATTTGAGCCTACTATTCTACTTTCATGCATGTTAAAGAGATCCTTTGATACAAACTTAAAATCAAATTTTTAGTAACAACAACAACAACAAGAACAACATGGTTTGCACCGACTCGTGACATGTTCACTCCAACAGTCCCGCCACCTTTTCAACGGGTAGAGTGTTGTCCGAATGGTTGCAGAGGGAACTGTTACTCTGAAAATTGCTATAATTTTTGTAATACTTATATTAATTGTTGTTGATTTCTGTTTATAAACCAATCCCAATAACCAACGAATTTTCGTCACTAACAATGATAAATAAAATTGCAAGTGGTTGTTTAAAATGCTCATTTCAATCTTATTAAAAAGCAAACAATTATTGGGTGAATGCATGGTTAATTCAGTAAATTTCTCGATCATTTCAGCTATTTAATCTTTGTTTGTTTAGAATGAAAAGTGATAATCTTAAAGGGGGGGCTATTAATCGCGGCCGGGTGACGATAAAAATTTTTTTACGGCAACCACCTGTTTTTTTATTTTAATATCGCTGATTTAATTATAAAAAGAATAAAAATCACCCGGCTAGAGTGATTTGATGGGTTTACAAATTTTTGGAGACGCTGCAAGGGTTGGAAAAAAACAAGATCGTCACTCATCAGACACCTCAGACACAGTCTAGATCGACCGAGTTTTAATTGCAGATAAATTTAAAAACAAAATAAAAAGCACAAAAAACAATAAAAATAAGTTGTTAATCTATAATTCTTCCTCTTGCTCACTTTCATCTTCGCTCAAGTACAGCAGTTTCTCAAATCGGCTTCTTATCTTAGTCAATTTCCAGCGCATCATCAGCAGAAATGACTGAATCTCCCCCATCTTCAGCGCTTTGATTGACGCAATTAGATCTTTTTTTCCATTCGATTGTGGTTTTCTTTTGTTTCCTAACATAAGTTTTCTTGGTTTTCGAAAAAACAAGAGTATTTAGAAGACCATAAGCTAGATTAGCTTAATGATCTTTTGCATTATCTAAAAATAAAATCTCCATCTTGAAAAAGGCATCTAGTGATGTTAAAAACCAAAAATGTAGATCGAAAGTCTAAAGGAAACAAAAAGAAAACATAATGCCTGACTTTTGCTTTACTTTCGCACTTACCTTGTAGATGAACTACGCGAGCCTTGCAGCTTCTCCAAAAATTTGTAAACCCATCAAATCATTCTAGCCGGGTGATTTTTATTCTTTTTATAATTAAATCAGCGATATTAAAATAAAAAAACAGGTGGTTGCCGTAAAAAAAATTTTATCGTCACCCGGCCGCGATTAATACCCCCCTTTAAGCTAATAACAGAGGGCAACTTTTTTTGAAATGAAATGATGGAGAAACTTGAGTGAGGACCCAAATTTGGACACAGCCCCGTACAGGTCTGTGAATAAAATTCGTTAAATCAATGGGAAATTCGCACTCCATCTAAGGTCAGTTCAGCAATGGTGTCCAGTGTGCATCAGTGATTCTATTAAACGAAAATCTAAGTCTCGCGAAATATCTTTTCAGCAAGGGCCAAAAAGAGGTTGAATGCGAGGCGAAATTGTATGGAAAAGCTTTTGGTGATGGTGGAAAAAAGGAAAGGGCCACGGTCGCTCTTGTCAAGGAATGGGAAGTGTGTGATTTGCTCTTGTTTATCTTTCATTTTAGAAACATTACAATTCTGAAAAATGTTAATTTTCAGGTGGTTCGGGCGACAAATTTGAGATGTTGGACCGAGCTTCTCGCGACACTCAAGGAAATCCAAGACGAGTATAAAGAGAAAAGAGAGATCTACGGTGAGAAGCCGACGCTTTAATGAGAACTGTTGGAGTGGATAGTGGGAAGAATTGTGCGTTCTCATGTCTCTCACACAATCGCTTCTCATCTGGCCCACTTCCTTTCCCTATATGCCTCGAATTCCTTTCGGTTTTTGTTGCCTTTGAATCTTTCGCCTTTTACTAAAGATTTCCGTTTAAAAGAACAGCTATGAATACATATTTTCTTCTAAATTTTGCCTAATTAAAATGTGACCTCGATCTGACGGACAGATCGGAGAATTTCATTGTGACCAAATGAGGCCTAGAAGAGGAAGGGCCTGCGGTCTATCCCGTCCAATCTGCCAAGTTAAGCAACGTCAGCGTGGGATAGTCGTGGGTTCGACTTTTGTGGGTTCCCCTCCGAGCGCCCCAGCCCGGCCATCGGAGTATCATCGGTTACGACAACTACACTTCCGCCTCAGTCCCCCGCACGGCCTCCCTGCTCTCCTCCGGCATCGAGGGATCAAGCAAAGGCCGAGAGATCTAATCACGGGACATAAGGATGCCATATGATGACAACAGCAAGGGATAGAGAAATGTGGAAGCAGGTTGTGATCTGCGCAAATAGGAACACCTGAGTGCGAAAAACAGATTAAAAAAAAATTGTGACCAAATCAAACAGAAAGAAAAATAGTTGGAAAAGATTTCTGGCAAAATCGCTAGAATCAATGCTTATCTCCGTTCACATTCTTCTTTTCAGCCTAAGCGGCTCAATACCTAACATTCAAGTTTTTTGGGGCCTCTGTGGGGGCTACATGGGGTTTTTAAGTTTTCGAGTAACGCGATAGTCTTTTTGTTCGATAGAATTTCTTTCACAAACGGTGTTTCTGCTAAATTAACGCAGTTATATGACAAAGATTCATGATGTTTCTAGAGCTAATCGGGCGATAAGTTAAGTCAACGAAAAAAATTGGGTTTGGACACATATCTTTCTAAAAATTTCTTTCACAAACGATGCTTGTTCTAAGTCTAAAGCTCATGTCATTTGTCATGTCATTTGGCCATTCGAAGTCATGTCATTTGGCCATTCGAAGTCATGTCATTTGGTCATTCGAAGTCATGTCATTTGGCCATTCGAAATCATGTCATTTGGCCATTCGAAGTCATGTCATTTGGCCATTCGAAGTCATGTCATTTGGCCATTCGAAGTCATGTCATTTGGTCATTCGAAGTCATGTCATTTGGCCATTCGAAGTCATGCCATTTGGCCACCACACCCGGTTGACATTCCCTTGTTAGTCGACTGTTCAAATATGACCCCGGCTCACAAAGGGATTTATAAAAAAGAGGTGAAAAAGGAATCTTTAGCCCATTGTTCTTTGGAATATAAAAGAAGGAAATAAATCCATTCTTTTCCCAATTTTTCTCTGTACAAACAGATTTGTTTTGTAAAAATGCTAAAGGTTCGTCAAATTTACATTTTATCTGTTCAATCTTAGATTTCAGTTATTTTTCGTGTTTCATCTTTTACCTATTCTCAGTTATTCACTGAATGGGGATCAGTTTTTGAAAATTCCAAAGAAAAACCCATTTGATGAGAACAAATTCGAGGATTCGTTGCTTTATGCTAAATCGAAATCTACCAAAGAGTTAACTGGAAATGAACTTTTCCTATTCAAAGCTACAACAACCCAAGAGTTAGTTATCAGTTTTATCTACATTGAAAGAACTAATCCATTTACAAACATGTTTCTTCATCACTTGTAAACAAACACGTTAAAACATCACTTGCTCTTAAATATCATGCCTAAACCACACAGATCACTGAAAAATACCTTGTTTTAGATCTTTGGTGAGCCTGTACGATGCGCATATGTTAGGGATCGGAAATTTAATTGAATTGAATCGAGATCAGAGTAAAGTCGAGAATCTTCAAATTCTTTTGAATGACAAAGAGATCGCTTCTAAAAAGCGTATGTTTATTTCAGAAACTTCTTTTTGTCCATATTATAGACCTGCTATCGGGTCAGATCCAATCCGAAAAGTCTAACTTTGGATAGGATCAGATCCAGATCTAAAATCCAAACTTACGGATCGGATTGAATCCGATCCGAATCGGATTGGATCCAATTTCATTCGGGTTGGATTCAATTCAACCTCACATCCAAAGTTTCCCATATTTAATCCATGGAAAAAGATTGAATTCCAGAGATAAAAGCCTTCTTCTCGGACCTACCGGAATGCGAATCAGGGATCGTCGGAGTTTCCTTCAGCGGTTCCTTTACAGAAGGGACAAAATGTAGTTTGATTAAAAAAATACCATAGCTATGAATATAGTCAAATTTCAGTTGCATATTGTTGATATGGAAAATAAAGAAGACCAAACATCAATGATTGCACTCTCTACGAAGACCGATTTGACCAATTTTGAATACGCAAGGACTTTACTCGAGCCGCTGATCTGGTCTGCATTTAATTCATACTTATGGGGTGTTCCAAAAGTCCTTATAAACGGAGAGTTTGACTCGGAAAACACGCTATTTTTGAAAAAAAACTAATGCCAGATTATGTAAATTCAGGTATTTTTACCCCTATTATAGCTTTTTTTTTGCGCAAAAGTTGCAACTCTAAACAACTTTTTGATGGGGTCCATCCCAAAACAGCGCCGATGTAAAACGGTTTTTTCTTTTACAATGTACGATTTATTTTTTATTAGCAGCTTTTAATTTTGATAATTTATTCAAAAATAATATGATCAACAATTAAACGATAATAAAGCATAAAAACACTTCCTTGTAGGTGTTAGCATCCTTTCCATTTAAAAATGCACGCACGGAACAGACATATGTTCATGCTAAAATTTCTCAAATTTGAGTTTTTAATAAAATAAAACCAACCTCGATGCCAAGAATGAAGAGTTGTTTGAATCCTGCAGGCGCGGAAACAAATGTACCATCGCAAAACCAAATGGCATTCTAAAGTACAATAAAAATTCTACAAATAAATAGCTAACCTGCAATAATGCTGTTTTCCCCAATCGATTCAGAAGACTTTCATTCCTTTTTCATCCCAAAATGTGTCAGTGTCGAAACGTAGAAACCTTGTACCTTTATCTTAATTTATATATAAATTTATTATCGTAAGAATACCGGTTGCTTTGTTTTGATGGGCTTGGCCATAAAATTTCGTCTTTGAACACCTAAAAAGAAACAGAACTGGGTATTACAAGATAAATTATACTTCATTTACCTATAACTCAAAAGTAAACCGCCTTTAAGTGCTTTATCCTTTCGATATTCAAATCCATCTGTGTCGTAAATCAGTGGCCGTTCTTTTTAGCTTGTCATTCTACCTAGACAAATGAATTAATAACTAACAAACCAGAAAGCTGGTAAAACCATGTTAACAAACAATAAACTACAAACCAACAAACCATATTACCATAAAATAAAATATACCTTAACCTCCACATTTTTCCTTTTAAAACACGCAGCAACGTCTCGTTTGATTTCCGATCGTGACTGATCGATTACCTGCAAAATAAAAATGCTAAATGGCTAGACGAACCAAGTCTTAAGTAACACATCCATAAGTCTGATAAAATATACCTCAAAACTTCACGTCGGTCCGTGATGATAAGCGACGTCACGACGATAATGAGCATGCAGCAACGCCTCGCTGAGTTTCAGATTACTCTGTTACCTACAAAAATAAAAAGTTAGTAAAGACGTTAAAAAACACAGACCGCAAAAGGAAAAAGTTTGGTATTTTAGGTTAAAATCACTTTAATCGCTACCGTGAGTTTCTATGGGTAAAACGGGGTAGGCTAATTTCCGCCATTTTATTTGCGCAACAGGGTCATTTGCGCAACTCGCCATAACTTTTTTTCTAAGTGACACAATGTTTATGATTTTGGTTTCATTTTGTTGCACTTATTGAGATCTACAAAATGAAACCAAAATCATAAAGATTGTGTCACTTAGAAAAAAAGTTATGGCGAGTTGCGCAAAAAGCCTAGTTGCGCAAATGACCCTGTTGCGCAAATAAAATGGCGGAAATTAGCCTACCCCCATAAAACTTAAAAAAAATCGTATTCTCCGCCTCTCTTTACCCTAAAAACACAAAAAGCAGACAGAAAAGGTTAAAAGCAGTAAAGAAAAAGCAAAAATCTAGAAAAAAATTTTTTTTTGCTCGTTGCTCTTTTGAAATGGACCCTTTTGATGAGGATGTTTAAATGTCGTCACAGCGCTTTTTTTTGCTTTTCAGATTTGGGTGCCCTTCGTAGAATCGCTTGAAAATCTCTTGTTTTTGAGATATAAAGCTCGTTTGTGGCTTGTTTTCAAGAAAAAACTTAGTTCTATCAAATAGTAACAAAAGTTTTCGGAAAAAAATTTCATTCTGCAAATTTTAAGCAACTTTTGCAAAAATCTTCAGCGAGAGGATGTAAAAAATCCTAGTCAAAAAGTTGTTGAGAGTTGAAATCTTTTTATAAAAATGGGCATATTGGGGTAAAAATACCTGAATTTTTAGAATCTGGCGTTAGTTTTCCGAAATTCACGTGTTTTTCAAGTCAAAAGCTACTGCTAGAAAGAAAAAGTATAAGAACTTTTGGGACATTCTGTAGAACAATATACAAAAAAAACATAAAATTTGAATGATTTAGCCAATAGATTCTAAAGTTTCCCTTGATTTGGTAAGAGTTTTAGTCGAAAATGAAAAAAAAGGGAGTGGGACAAATGCGACCTTTTTTTTTGCGCACCTGGACATTTGCGCACCTTTTTTTTTGCTGGGAAAGGCCTTAGGCAAGGCCGTAGAGCTTCGAAAATATTTCCATATAAGGGAATTGTATGCGTAGATTCAGAATTTTGACAAATCAGACGTCGCTGACACGTCAAAATTCTGAATCTACGCATACGATTCCCTTCTATAAAAACATTTTTGAAGCTCTACGACCTTTTCTAAGGCCTTTTCCAGCAAAAAAAAGGTCGCATTTGTCCCACCCCCAAAAAAGACAGATTTAAATATTCAATATGAAAAAAGATATTCAAAAATAAAT